GTGCATGTGCTCTTTACCGTCTTTCTCTGCTTCACTTCCTCTTCCGACAGAGTGGTGTTTAGCCGTTGGTGACCGCCGCCCGCAGATCGTGATTTGCTCTAAGGAAAGTGACACAGGCTACCCCCTGTACACACTTTTATTGTCTACACACTGGGAGAGGACCAGTTGCATTCCCTCCCACAGGGCTAAGTAAAATATGCAGTCCAAAATGCTGTCTAGTTATAAAATGTTTCCGCCCCGCGGGGAGGGGTAGGTCATCGTCCACGGTAAATAAGCTACAAATGTTCGTCCTACTCTCTATATCGTCGTCGGGGGGCTATCGAGCATATCTGCATTTGCACTATGAAATATTCACCTGAACCATCTTTAATGTAAACAGAAAGTCTACCGAAATCAAGGGAGTAGTATGTTTGTAGTCGTATAAGTTACCCGTTAGAGGGGGTTCGTATGTTTGGCTTTACCTTAACGAGTTAACTATGCAGGTGTCTTTTGAAAACGCTCACAGTAGGGATGCACAACAGACATTGGTGAAGAGTTACACTGTCGTCGGGAGCTATCGAACATAACTATAAGCTGAAGGGTTTGTGGGTGACAGGATTTTGCTGACAAGGCTAAAACTTAAGATTTCCGAAGAGTCCGCTTTTAGCGAGGATGGTGCCCAAGTAGCGGATATGACCTTTTGATTATCAGTTATGTCCATTTTAGGGAGTCGCTAAGTACTCCATCGATTGGATAGGCTTTCTGGGGGGAGGGTTCTGTTTAGGTAGCCTCATGGAGTCTTGATATATCAACTGCACATCCCAGGCTTGTTGGCCATTTAACCATATGTTTTTTATTTGTTGTCCGTTTTCGATATTTTGTTTAATCTAATTAGCTCCTGTTAGAGAATGGGGACGGGCTGCACAAAAATCCCTTATGCTTACGGAAATTGGTGGTAAATACAAGGGAGACTGGAATGGTAATCTCGAGCTCACTTGCTGTCATCAGCCAGTCATACTCGACCTTAAGTGGTGCACCCCCCGAGGCTCAATGGCTAAAGTGTTGGACATGAATGGCTGATGGCGGCTTATGGGCCAGAAGTTACCATTCTGGTTTCCTTGTCTCTGCCAACAATATTAATATGCCAACAATGCTAGCCGCGCCCAAAGGCAGAACGAGAAGAAGGAATTACGTTAACGATCAGTGAGTATTCATCAGCGAATACGCTTAGGCTTGCTTCGTCGTAATACACATTATCCCGGAAGTCCAGAATCGTTGGGTGATCTCGTGAATGGTTTACCGAAGTTCTGACCAGTTTTCGATTAGAAGGGATTATTGTACTATCGATTGATTTGCAGCATAATATATTACCGACACCAAAGTGTTGCCCCTTAAACCCCTTTCATTCACCCGCCTTAAAAAACCGCATCACTTAAAAGAATGGTTTCATAAAGAGCATGCACGTTTCTTGACTATCGATGCCCTGGTAGATACAACTACATTTTGTAGAAAATATAATTTATCTGACTCAGTAATCAGTCTCGGTTTCTCCGAAAGGGCTTTAAGTCTTTTGTTTCAGGTTTCTGGTTATGTTATTTTTAAGGCCTTTTAATGTCAATTCAAATGGTGCACTATCCGACTTTTTGTTAATATTTCATGGCAGAATTTCACCACTGGTATATCATATCGAGGAATATGTGCTTTTCTTTATAGATTGGGTTCAGTATAATTCGGAAATCGGGAAACCTTTTTAAAAGCCAAATATAGCTTTGTTTAGGCATTACTTTTTTTGAAATTGCGTAATTTATACCCGATGTGCTTAAAAGAAAGTATATTTTTGTACCCTGTGTTTTTTTTATCAAATATGATTGATTTTTAACGGCATTAAGAATGAATATTGCTTAAGTAGTCATCTTGGCCAAGTGTATTTCTTGCAGAAAGCTGAAAAAATGTACTCCACCACGGTAATTCTTAGAAATAGAAAAAAAGCAACAGAATTTTCGTTAACACGATGCAATACAACGCACTCCACCCTCTGAGTCCACACTGGGCGAAAGCACTTTCGTAGACGGGACCAGTCAGCGAAGGGTAGCTGATCATTTAGCGTCCGGCTTCTGACAAGTGTCGTCCTCCCAGATGAAATCTTGCTTGGTTCGCAGGCGCACATGGGCTATGCAGGTCACCTTGCGCGCCTTCAAAAGAATGTTTTGTTATCCGTTCAAAAAACAGACCGCCTTCCGAGCCCCCACCTCAAGCTGTCCGGATGAGCTTTGCGGTGTGCACGCCAGCTGCTTCTGCATTTTGGCTCGAGTGAACCACAGGAGTTTAGTTTGCAA